GACTGCGTTGTGGCAAGATACCTCGTACAGCGTCAACGCGTGGTACAGCTATGGCGCTCTAAAGCACATCATCGAGGGTCTGCCTGATGGAATGCCGCGTCGTAGCGGCCCCTTCTTTGGACGCATTCTCTTTACCATCCAGCAGTTTACCAGTGGCTATATCTGGCCCCCAACCCTGTCCTGCACTCCCACCTCGAGGTGGCCGTGCATGCAGATCTGGCCGGAGCGCGTGGAGAAGGACTTTATGGCTTGAGTTAGTTCAGGTTCGCCACATAACTTTGAAGTGTTCAGAACTATTATTGACGGTTGTAGTTGCCTAAAAATGATAACATGACAATACGTAGGCATTATAGCGCGCTGTGAAAATCGGGCAGTCGGTGGGGCTTTAGTTAGACGATCCTTCAATCAACATACTGTATTTTTGGCCAGATGTGTGATGCTAGATTCTAGCTTAGGAGTGCATACTATCATCTATTAGTTCGTTCAGGAACCCATTCTAAAATAATCGGAACATTAGTATGAGGTCATGATACTTACCAAAATTAACATAGTTTGCATCGACGTTCATAAACTGGATTAAAATCAAAGGGACAAGGATAGTACACAAGACGAATAAAATCTAAAGAACAGAGCTGCTGCGTATATGGGTGATAATTTCCAAATGATCACTCAACTGTATATACAGTACCCTTGTTTCGGTTTCTTCCTTATTCACATTTAGATTGATCTTTGTCGCATCAAAATAGCCACACCCCAACCCCAATGCTTTTACAAAACAGGATGAACCATTAAGGGGTAAAACATTGGACATGTTGCTCGTCGTACAGTGGCTACAGTGGGTTCCCTTTTATTTCTACTGGCATTTCCCTTCCGAATCCAAGGCGCTTTGATAGACAACGACAAAGGGACCATGCTTGGCTTCATGACTCCGACCGAAGTTGACACTGTACCATTCCGCTACTTGTTCATCCACATAATGATCAATCATGTTGCAGTTAACTTCGAGGTACCCGGTCATCCGAGACACCCATAAGCCTAATGCTTCCGCCCAATCATAATATCCCGCCTGAAGTCAGAACAGGATGGTTAGCACGACAAGCCCACAACCTTACTGCTAGAGTGAAACACTACCCCAACGATACTAAGTGAGCCTAGATACCGCAATACTACGCTTGTCCATGCAATTACATGGATGGGATGAAGTATTTTGCTTAGTCTCGTCATGAATCTATCGGCCTCGGTTTGTCTCGGTTTGTCTAGGTCGTCGGAATATTGTTGTCGTGGACCACTCAGTTCTCTTTGATATGTCTCAAGCTTATTTTGTTCGTCTGCGAGCTACAAGCAGGTTATATCAAGGGTATGCAGGTAGTAACAACGCGGATAACAATGTGTTAAGGTGTGGGATGACGACCGGGTCCCGCCATGTAATATTGCCCTACAAAGTAGTCATTCACTACCCGTCATATGACTACACACCATAAGCGCACAGTACTCCCCAGAAGTTCGTCGGATAAAGCCCGAGGATATTCATATGAAATATTTCTTAGGAATTTGGACATTTCTTTTCGGCTGGAATCTCCAGCGAGCAGTCAGGTGATGGCGGCGCAATCACGTGGCGAAGTAGCCGCCAAACACCATATCATGTTGGCTCACGGCGGACTCGCCCAAGACTCGATATGTTATTCCGATTCTATCAGTAGAGCACAGCTGCTAGTGGCCATTGCTTTGATCTGTAACCATGCCAAATCCTTGGAGCATTTGCTCAGGATACTCTTCCCATATGTTGACTCGATCGCGCCTCTCAATTCTTGCTTTCACCAGAATAACCCCCTTCGTCCCCTATTCCCACACCCGATCACGCTCTAGCACTTGTATGTCATCATCAAAATGGAAATGCTCCCCGCGGACATTCCCGACGTCGGGATTCCAGCTCCTAGATCCGGAAATCAAGCTTGAGGAAGAAAGACTGCCAACATATGCTCCCCAAAAATACTATCCTGTCCAACGAGGAGAAATATTTAACGACCGATACCAAGCCATCGCTAAAGTAGGATTCGGGGTGACTTCTACGGTTTGGTTTGCTCGTGACTTGATGTATGTTATCCCCATTATCTCTACAAGTCATCAGTGCTGAGCAACCAGTGAATCTACCCATGTCATCCTAAAGGTATATGTCTCCGGCCAAGGGAGAGACCATGAACTCAACGTCTATAAACACATTGAATCCATCGACACAGACCATCCTGGCAAGAAGTATATCCGCAAGTTACTTGACTACTTTTACATAAATAACACTCAAGGCCGCCATCTTTGTCTGGTCCACCAAGCACTTGGGATGAATACATCCGATCTCCTGCAGCTCAAACATGGTCACCGAATGACGCTCGAAGGAATGAAACCGGTCATTTGCCAACTTCTCGTTGCCCTAGATTTTCTACACTCCGTGGCGCACATCATACATACAGGTAAGAGCTGCCTGTTCTGTCTAGACTATTCCGCAAATTTAATCCCAATAAAGATCTACGACTCGAGAATCTTCTCCTCCCTGCCCCTTCACCTGAGGTGCTGTCTGATTTCGAAGAGCAAATCTCCTCCAGGCCAGCTCCGAGGAAGGTTTTACAAGATCGAACGATCTATACGAGCTCACCTTTCCCTGCCGGAGATGGTCTTCCTCTTCTTGGCGACTTAGGCGCGGCCCGCTTTGCGGTAGAGGAACAGTGTGATGATATCATGCCGGACTACTATCGCGCCCCTGAAGTGATCCTCAAATCCAATTGGGATTATAAGGTGGATATTTGGAGTGTTGGAATGGTGGTGAGTAACCACCCCATTCTTTATTTGGCTCTCGCATGATACTTACCCATTTTGGAAGGCCTGGGACATTGTCAGCCCCAAAACGATCATCCAAGGCAAGATTGTAGACGACACCTGGGACGACGGAGCTCATATCGCAGAACTTGTCGCACTGCTCGGGCCCCCGTCACCCGAATTCGTGAAAAATGCGAACATGAGCTGGGTCTTCTGGGATGAATCAGGGGAGTGGAAAGATCTAGTGCCTATACCTGACCGGTCATTCGAGAAGCTAGCCGCCGATATCCAAGGTGAGGATGTCGGGGGGTTTCTGAGATGGTTGCGATTGGCCTTGCAGTGGAATCCAGAAGATCGACCGACCGCTGTAGAACTTCTAATGGACCCATGGTTGATGAAAGGACTTAATTTGCGAAAGAGGTCTTGAGAAATGATGTGTGTTCCAGATTTCATAGTCATTGCATGTATAGACATAGCCTCAATTAATATACATCACTCGTCATTTGTATGGTAAATTCCAGGACTGTGAATATGGTCGAGGTACCTTATGCAGTACACAGGATTTTAGCTCGATTTAGGTATGTCCGCTGAAGGCTAACACTGAACGTTTTCCAGCAACATATTTCAGCAGACTTTCCTTAGTGATTGAGGATGCTGTAAGTGAAGCCAGCCTGAAATAGCATGGCTTGTATATTCCGAATGACCAGCTCAACACAGTCTTTTTCTTCCTCCCCAATCTGTGTTTTCGCAGGCCAAATCACAATGCGCTATGACCACTGATCATATTTCTGATTCGAATCTTTCCACTTGTCACTTTTCACTATTGCTCACAAACTACAATACACGCTGGGTAGTAAAAATATGCGTTCGGATCTTCGAGCCCGTCGATAACTTGTGATTAAAAAGAAGGGGATAGAAAAGAAAAAAAAATCCTAAAGAATTCAAGACCTTCTGGCGGAGTGGAATCGTTGGAGACAATGCCAAGAACCTTGGAGTTGGTCGCGGGTGAGCGGAGATGAGGTTCGCTTGGCAAGCTGAAGTACCAAGTGAGTCAGACCAAGAATAAGCTTGAGGGGAAAACAATCCCCACATAGCATGAGCATTGACGGATTAACGCCTGATTTAGCTCCATTCAGGAGCACATTCCTCCTAACGCTTCTTATCAGCCCTAACGGGAAAGGCGTGCTGCTATCATCAACCATGGATCTACAATGCATCCACCATTAATGACCATAATTAAATCGACGGAAGATCCGAGCTAGTTAATTAATATTGATGACAACCTTACCTATTCCTGCTGATCCTTTCATATAACTTTCTAAGCAAAAGGTAATGTAATGGCCACAATTATGAAAGATTCTAGGGTGATAGCATTGACTAGCGTGTCCGCTAAAATACGGTCGGACCATAATGGTACACAAAAGTCCCAACCACCCGCCACGTTCGCATCCTCATTAAACACGTAAGCCTGATATTTTCATTACGCCTTCTAATAGAACTGTTAACATGCTGCAGGACCTGGAAGGGCTTGAAGCGTGCAGTGCGGCGACAGTTACCCAGGTGCTTGGCTGGACTAGTGAGAAAGTGAAGCGATTTCTGGAAGAGGTGCGCCGGGATGCGATGAAGAAAGAGGTGCGTTTGATGCATGATCTGCATTTAGCTCCTGTCTATTCTTCTTTGTCTTCTTTTACTTTTGGGGAGGCTGGAACTGGTCGGCGTCTATGTGTTGACTAAGATGCTGCAGCCAGGTCGTGTATGCGCAAGGCTATAGCATGCTTCGCTCTGGGGATTTTGGGAAGAAGTGGAACACAATTCCTTATTCTGAAGTGACCCCAACGATAATCTAGGGATGAGTAGGCGTTATGTCTGTTCTATGATTAGTCCGTTTATGCTAAACACAGTTATTGTTAGAAACTTTAGCACTGACACGGAATGGCCGTAAAGAAAATAATTGGAAAGTCCGCAGTGCTGCAATCGCGTGATCTTACTAGTGTATAGATTTTTAGTGACTGTAGGGATTTGGTGGGATCCATGTGGCATTTACTACTACATGATCGAATATATATATAATCTTGCTGCGCACGTCAAATGTTTTGTAACAACTTAAACAGGCTGAATTTGTTCTGATACTTTTCAAGCCACATGATGCTAGAGGATCCTATATATTTAGGGAGTATTTGAAACACTTGCACTTAATTAAATACCCCGTGGCTTGTAGTAGGCAGGGGAGTAGGAGAAGGTCTCAGAGAAGCAGAAGTTTCCACATCCTCATCCGGACCATCGTTTCCAGCAGGCTGGAAGATGCCATCGGTATTTTGGCAATGGCTCACATAATTCACTGTCACCTTGCAGCCATTAGATAACAGAGCGTGACCACATATCTTGCAACCACCACCGGAGGATTGCATGATATGGTCGTAGTGCCTAAAGTCAAAGTAAGTTCCAATTTATTATTCGGGATTAACATTGAAGAGGAAGTGACTCACGCTGCCAGCTCAGCCCCTGTCATTTCGCAGTTATCTCCCTCGACAAACACACCGCATCCAAATCCTGCGTTCATGCCGTCGGTATAACATGTTCCAGAGTTTGTGTCTTTCTTAGTGGTGCTGAAAATAAATTAGAGGGACATGAATTATTCTGGTGTGGATCATGATCTTACCCGTAGGTCACCGTGCCTAATAGGTCATCCTTTGCCTTGTCGCAGAAACTCCGTAGGTTCGAAAAGGTACCGCAGCGCGAAGATCCCTTACAGTTATAGCCTGTTTCCGACGCGAAGGCAGTAGTGGAGGTCGTCGTTGAGGTCGTCGAATGAGTCGTAGATGTACTCATGGTGCTGAACGTGCTGCTGGTGCTTGTCGACGAGTTAGTGTCATAAGCCATGGAATAGTAACTGCTAAGGTCGTCCAGTATCATTGTCCAGAGGGCGGGGTCTTCAGACACAGTTGAGTCCACTGCAGTAATCGTGCCCTCCGTCAGGCCATCTCCGGTTATTGTGCTGGTGATTGTGGAAGGATTCGCTGAGCATGCAGTGATAGTGGAGCATTGGCTGGTAACGGTAGTTATGGAGTATGTAGAGGCTGGAGTGACGAGAGTGCTGGAGATATACTCGGTACATCTGTCTGCCTCCCTTGAATCACAGTCAGTGTCCTCTGAATTGCACTTGTCTCCGTTGCATATGCCGTTCTTGCAGCCCGGACCACTGCAGCTAACTACACGGCATTTCGGACCTGTGCAGGTATGCGTTGAGGAAGAACAATCGACGCCGATACAACCCCAAGAGAGGCATTCAAAGCCAAAGCATGCCCCCTCAGCGTCACTTCCACTATGATCATCCCCACTATCGTCTCCATCATCTCCGCTGTCGTCACCACTATCATCTCCATCATCACCACTGTCATCCCCATCATCTCCGCTGTCGTCTCCGTCATCACCACTATCATCTCCGCTATCATCTCCGCTATCATTCTCATCGTCATAACCATTGCAATCAGTGCCAATACAGCCATGATCCTTACACTTGCTTCCAGTGCAGTGCCCATCCTTGCAGTCTCGCCCACTACATGCAGTAGGAGTGCAGTTCTCTCCCACGCACACCCGATGTTGACAATCAGAGCCAGTACAACCACGCTCAATACAGAGCCCCTGTCCTGTGCATTTTCCATTGACACATCCCGGGCCCGAGCACTTGTTTACCGATGGTGGGTCAGTATCCAAGGGATCGATAAATCCCGAAGAGCTATTTTTACCGCAATCCGTTAGGCAGGGTCCATCGCAAAAGTTGCTGCACTTGTGACCACAGTTGGCAGTACATGTCGGACCAGGAGGGCTGCCTTGATTGAAAGTGACATTCGGATATACTGTGCCCCCAGTCGACCACGGCCAAGGAGGGATGTGGATCACCCGCGTACCCAGTGGGGAGTGAGAAATGCCTGTTTCATTTAGTGGATTCGGGTCATCGATGACTGTCACGGGGGGTAGGTCGATGCTGGGGATTAAGGTTCCATGTGCAGAGGTTATGTGTGGATTGGTGATGTTCCAATTATAATAGCTGATGGTTCCGATCGTCACTGGGGGCACGGCGATGTTGGTGGGCATGATATAGCGGGTTGTTCCCGTGCTGACGCCAGTGGATGTACCCGAGGTGACGGTCGTCGTGGTATTCCAGACAACCTCCAAGCTTGTTGGGTATGACTCGGGCGAAATCACTGTCGGGCTGCCAAGGATATCCTGAGGAAATATAATGTCGACAGGGGCTATTGCAGTTACAGTTGGCGAGGTAAACACCTCCGGCCCCACATAGACGACACCAGTGCCATCACTTCCTCCTTCAGTATTGGCACCACCCATGCCGGTGTCGCTAGAAGACATTTCGTTCGGATTCTTGAGAGACCCAGGCCCACCCATATCGAGAGCCCAGCTGAATAAACCTCCTAGACATTTGCTATTGGCAAAGTCTGCCTTTTGCTTCAAAGTGCGAGCATTGTCAAATGAGACCCTGTTGCAATGTTACGGTCAGACCAAGCCACGCGGGTGAGTGATGCAGACAGAAATTACTCACCATTGATTTCCGCTCCATGTCATCCAGTTCACTCCAGATGTCTCATCATACTTAATATTGACTGAATAGTCTTGCATGATGCGATTGATCTCGTAGTCTGATAGGATTCCACTAGTCTGGGTGCACTCTCCAGCAACTCCCCCACCAGTGCTGTTGTTTGCAGTATTGAAGGGACACCCCGGAGTATTGCATGAAGGATCAGCCAACGTGAATGACCGTCCATAGAACCCCAGGCCGAGCAGAACTTTGCCAGGGTCAATTCCATTGCGCCACAAGAGATCAAGTCCAGAAGAGATCTCTGTGAATGAAGTTAGCTTGTTCAAGATCAGTATTACATTACTACATTCCTATAGGATACCCTACCGGTAAGGTTGGTGTGGGGGTTCACGTCAGAACTCGTCCACTTGCTTTTGCCGTCCCAAGTACCATGAATATCATATGACATGAAGTTGAAATAGTCAACGTAGGGCTCCATCCCCGTAACATTGAAGCCTTTCAGATACCCTTGTTGACTGTTAGCTGAAAGTACGTATATATCGCGATGACACGATAGATTATCTGTACTCACAGTAGGAAGATGGTATAGTGCAAGTAAGACCGTACTCTGTTCCCAAAGCGGCTCTCATTTCGGAGAGAAAAGTCACGAAGTTATCGGTATCGGTCGATGCGCCACCACGATCCTCGGCAGCGGGATATTCCCAGTCGATGTCAATTCCGTCAAACCCATACTCGGACATCATCGAGAGCGCTGAACTAATGAAAGCCTTGCGTGCCCCTGGAAATTGTACCATGTGGGAAAATACCTCTCCTCCCAGGTCCCATCCCCCGACAGAAATGTACGTTTTTAACGACGGCTTCTTCTTCTTGAGGGCAGTGAACCTTGACCAATATTCCTTATCCTTGTCATGGGTCGTGGTGATGGTAAAGTCAGACGTACTGATGCCGGCGAAAGAATAGTAGAGGTGCTATGTGTGGGTGATGCTTAGGTAAATGTCAAGACAGGATGGGCTGAATGAATGCGTACGGTCCACGGATCAACATTGATGTTTTCAGGCAAGACAACATCACAAGGGTGGGTTGGGTTCCAGCCTTCATAGTAGCCAATGTAGACGGCCTCGCTAGATGATGCAGAACATGTACTAACATGCGGTGTAATCAGTAGATGCCATGGTAATAGATTTGGCCAATACCTACGGTTCTTTGATGGCGTCGCAGCCATTCTGGCATCCGCTGCCGCAGAAGTCATCGGTGGTACCGCAAAAGCTATAGTGAGTCAGCAGAAGGCAAAACTTCTAGCAAGCGAGTGAGAATACCCATATTTGGAACAGCAGACATTAAGAGGACAACTTGCTCCAGGCGTTGCAGCATATTCTGGGATACATGTTAATGGACCCCAGGGGCACCTTCCAAAAAGCGCGACATACCTCCGCATTCAGCTACTGCATGGCAGTTGGAGATACAAACATCAACTCCACAAAAATCTTTTCCAAAGCCACAGGATCCATATTTTGAACAACACCCAGTGTCGCATGGACTAGTTGCTGAGCAGGAGCCTACGGCTGCTTGCACCGAAGGAAGCACACTCAAGGCGCTCAGGAACAGCCACCACGCGTTTGTTAGTCGTTGCATTGCAAAAGTCCGCACAGAGATTTAATCTGCTCTCTGGTCGGAGAAAGCTGACTATGGCTTGATCCCTATTATTTCGAGCGGCTTTTATACTAAGCTAAGACGACAATTTCTATTCATGGGTGTCCACTTTCATTGTCGCCGTTCACCTTTACGGGTGCAGTAAAGACACCAACTGAAAGCCGTGACCTAACCCATTTATTCAAGTATTTACTTTTTTGATTAATGTTCTCGATTTTGCGATATCGGACTGTCGACCATTCGATGTCCGATCACTTCGGCTAACGGTAACCGTCGGCCACCGACGGAAATTGGCTGCTTGGCATAAGCACTAAGCCCTAATGTATTAAGGGTCCGGGTCCTTCCGATTCTATTGAGGACCCTGAGCGAGCTAAGCTTCTAGTGTCAACTTCTGAGAGCGGGTGTACGCCAAATCATCACCAGGTGGGGCCACTAATTGAACGGTTCTTGTTTTCATCTCCACAAGGAGCTGTTAGCAATGCAACATAAGACTTTCAAGATAAGAGCACTTTGCAGGGGCACAGCCATTTTATCAATATGGCCAGAAAATGGCGCACCGGACCTTTCTCCGTACCTGACTCTTTTTTCAGCTTTAATCTATATCCTGTCTCCTCCTGACCCTGCGTCGGCATAGTCCACATTGATTCAATGGTTGGTTACCCCACCCCCAGTACTGCTCTTGCATTAGGAGTGAAACCTTCCCAATGAGATATGGTGGTACCTGTAAAATAATCCCTTCCTTCCATATTAGCGGATGTCCGTCTTCCGCGAGACATCAGGAGCAATATGCATGTTCTGGGCCTAGTGAGGGAGATGTGGAGACATATCGGAAATTTGATGCACTTGGGATCCGTAACAAACCGAGCACCTACCAGGAAGGCCGGAAGGCGAAAGGCGTACCCGGAAAAAGCGTACTTGAGATTCTCAGTAGTGTATCGCACTATGGGAATAGCAAGACCATGCCCCTCATACCATAGAAAGGGGGGCATCATCCGGTTCGTTTATCAAGCCAGCCTCCTTCCCTATCTGAGTGTAGATGTGACTTTTTTTAACAATTTTGTCGGTCATTAATCCAGTAGCTCATTCGGAAAGAAGACTATCCGCTCACTCAGACAAGCTTTCATTCTACTACGTTCGTTCGTCCATTTATTCGTTCATTATATCAAAGTAATTTTAGGGTTCACTACTACTATGTTTAAACGCGCTGCCACTGCAATGGGCCTTTTCTGGGCGCTGTTGTTTTGCCATTCCCTAGCCTTCCCATTTGAGCCGTTTCCTACAGATACTGATGTTGTCCCATCCGCCAATGTATCCGACCTCCTCCCGAGGCATCTGGTCAAAAGAGCATCACGGTATCCCAGAGTCAAGTATGGCCCCACCTGCAGTGCTGAGGAGCAGGCCTATATAGATAATGAGTTAGATGAGCTCCAGCCAGTGGTACGGATATTACATGTCTTTCCCCCTCGGTGCAATGATAGACTACTCACCGCTGGCAGATGATCCGTGTCATGCGTCAACTCCGAGATATCCGAGCAGTTATTAGAGAAAAAGAACAGCCAGCCAACTGGGGAACTCGATTCGCTGATAATGACCGGATCTTAACCTCCTGGGCTTCAATGATGGGAAGAACTAGATTTAATTATGAGGTTGAATTGAAAGAAAATCAAGATAACCTGGCTTCATGGACGACGACTTCACGGAATATGCAATTCATGATAAGTCAGTTGATCTCACGACCCTCCAAACATCGCGCCCTGAAGGAGAAAGTCTGACCATTGGAGGTTCCATGATAGGTGTCTACAGCCGTATCTACAACGCCTTACGGGATAGAACGCTGTCCCTTACCATCCACTGTGGTGATAAATTCTATGTCTTTGATAAAGACGTCAGTACCAAGAACACCCGTTAGCGTTCCCCCTTCAGTGCCACATTTCCCTTTCCCTGCCTGACGTACAAATCCAAACCAGGTGTATATCGAGATACCAGATCGACAGAGTCCCAGCCTTATATGATATTGCCGGAGCCCGGAAGACTATGCCACGAGAATGGGGGTGGCAACGGATGGCAGATGTGGAACAAGCTCACTGTAGAAGACGAAATTTGCATCTGCCCGAGGGTTTTCGACAATGCAAAGACGTCGCAGACTCTGAGCAGTTTGGACAATACTGTTGACAGCCTTAAAGGGCGACATGTCGATTATATCAAGAAATTCACCGCAGCAGGCAGTTTACTACACGAGCTATCCCATTGCCGTGGCATCCTTGGGGACGACCAGACCAGTAAGCTGTCCCGGTTCTCACGAGAAAAAGGTTTTTTTTTTTTTTTTCCCGGATAACTAACCGGGAGGATAAAATCTCAGAGGACCTAAGGCTTCGACCTTTCCCACTAGGTCCGTTCATCGATGGGTATCAACGAAACGGCGTCTGGGCCGTGTCAAAAATTGATCCAGCTGGGGCTCATCGCAACGCAGGTAATACAGTCTCCGCCCAACCACCGTTATCTATGTAAGGATTCCCGGACTTTGCTGACAGCTGGGCCAGACAGTATCACGTATTTCGCCCTAGCCATGTATTACTCCGCCTGTAACTGGTCGCGGGGAATTTGCGGGGAAAAACCCTTTTGGGACTTTTGGAGTCAAGATAAACAAGAGTATATGGATATAGATTATTCTACGTGAAGTAGTCGGGTTAATCGTGTCGTTAACTACTTAGTTAGCTGGTCAGGGCCACATAGCCCGGCTGGGTAAATATATTCTGTGCTAGTTAGTTCACTAGGGAGCTATCTACGTACTAGTTAGTTAGTGGATTAGTGGGCAGCAACTAGTCCATCGGTCGGGCGCTTCTTTAAATGACTGTTGGCCCTTCCTCACCATCCGCCACCCCAGTTTCTTGCAAAACAACTTGTTACTACGATGGCGTCCCTTAGCAACCTCCCTTTAGAACTTTTACGCTGGGTGGCTGAATACCTAACCACTCAACGCGATATCAGTCATCTGATGCAGACGAATACGCGCCTGTATCACGCGATGCACCCTATTCTCTGCGAATACAATGTTCAACATGATGAGAGCTCCGCCTTACCTTGGGCTGCCCAAAAGGGAGAGACTCGCTTGGTGACCAAGCTCCTCACTGCCGGGGCCAACATTTCTGCCTATTCTCCCTCTCCCCGGTATGTGGAAAGGAAGGTTCACAACAGTAGGGACATCGATCCGTGGGCCAAGAATAATTCTTTGTTATACGCAGCCCAGGGGGGCCACACCGCAATCCTCAAAACACTTCTTGGGGAGACCCGGTCGGGCCAAACGGCATCGCCGGCACAGTTGCGGTCGGTCCTGCATTGGGCGCTGCGCCAGCACGATGAACAGCTAGTCGAGCTAATGTTTGCTCACAAGGCCCCCTTGGATCCTGCAACAGAATCAAGCGGCGCCCCATCTGCCCTCGGAGTCGCCGTGGCCGCCAGCTACAGCGCCATCCTCCCCCGACTTCTGGCTCTTGGCGCACGTCCGGGGCCTCGTGAGTGCCCGTGCCCAACCGAGCGGGCCATTTTCACCAAGCAGCCGGAAGTTATACGGCTGCTGCTAGATCATGGCCTTGGCCTATACGGTGATGATGCGGTGTGTCACCTTGCCCATGAAGACGATCGCGATACGCTTCGGCTCTTGCTGGCATACGGCATGGATCTGGTGAATTACGGTTCGGCAGCCCTATTCACAGCTATTCGAGACGGCCACTACGAAATGACTGAATTGCTGATCGATAATGGGGCCATCAAGGATGTATGTTGTGAGCTGTATCCGCCGTCTGGTCTCTTTCTCGGTACTGCGTATAGCGCGGTTGCTATGGCTATATTGTATGAGCGGCTTGACATCCTGAGGCTCCTCCTCGACAAAGGCTTCCTTCCCGGCCCACGAGACTTGGAACTTGCCACTGAAAGGAGTTTTACCGAGGCTGTGTCGCTTTTGGCACCTTTCGCAGAACGCGACCTACATGACGGAAACGTTATCAACATGTGGCACGCCTTTGGATGGGACCCTAATAATCCCAGGCCCCGGGATGGATCCATGTGGGATATTAAATCTCGCAGTCAGGGAATTATTGATACTTCTGGAACTAGAGAGCCAGAGCCGGAGAGCTTGTGGGCTACAGCTGTATCTAATGATGATTACAACGACTCTGACGGTGACTACGATTCGGAACTCGAACGAGAGTATTGGAGAAACAGCGAGTATGGTAGAATCTACGTGTCCTACTAACCGCAAGATAACTCAGCAGCAAGGGCAAGGAGGGTTCAATTCTATGTATACACACCTTAGCTAGATTCTCATAATGGTTGATGAGAAGTAGAGAAATTTTGTAGAAAGGCCACATAATGGGGAAAGATCTAGTGATTACCTGATTAATTTTTAAGGAATAAAGGTAGATAATTTCTTGGTGCTAAGCCCCCTATTGAAGTGCTTACTTCGGAAAACTTATAGTATCGTATGATTATTGAGCCCTATCCGTAGATGAAGGACACGGTGGCCACGGGGTAGATTCGGCTCTGCGGGAGCTGCCGGAAAGCCGAGCAAGGTAGCGAGGTAGTAGCACTAAGCGAACTAATGCAGGTAATGCAGGTGGGCAATATGTAGCAATCAAACACTTTTCCAGGTTATCTTGATAATTGTCAGCCACAGAGAGCCGGAATCGGAGTAAGACTGAGATATATATGTAACACCGCTAGCCATGGCCCCTAGGTCTATAATTCGGTTCCCCTTCCTACTCTTACAAACGAAGGACAAGTAATCGAGTAGCTTCAATTGTTTGGACAGAATGATTTCCACTCCTTTTTTCACCCTCGCCATATTCGCATCCGTCCATGGTTTTGCCATCAACAAGAGATTTGACAATGGTGACTTCCCAACTGGTAATACTGACCCCAATGTGGCCAGTGCATGTACATACTGGGCGAATTCTATTGCCTCAACAGATACTTGTGCGGACCTTGAGAGCTACTATGGAATCACGGCTACACAGCTAACTTTCTGGGTAAGATGAGCTCCTTCCTATCATGAAGATGGCCAAGGCTAATGGATTACAGAACCCTTCTCTCTCAATCACTAACTGTGCCCTCAAAGAAGGCTGGAGCTACTGTGTTAGTGCACCAGCTATATCAACCACACCCTCGTTCACCAGCACTATGTCTACAACATCTTCCACGCTCCTGCCTACTACCACGGCGACATCTGCGTCAGACATAACCACCAGTGCGAGTAGCCCTTCCCCGACTCAAAGCGGCCTGAGCTCGAGCTGTGATGCATTCTATTACGTCAAAACGGGCGATTCTTGCTGGGCAATTGTCAACTCGTACGGCAATTTTACGCTCAACCAGTTTTACTCCTGGAACTCGTAAGAGCGTACCACTTGATTGAGACTTTTTTCAATAGCTAAAACGATGCACAGGGCCGTCAAGTCCGACTGCTCCGGCCTACAGCCAGACTATTACGTCTGTATCGGTGTCACTGGGTCCACCACTGTGGCGTCGCAGACTACACTTCCTGCTACCAATACTGCTTCAGCGGTTACTACTACTGGGTCTTACCTACCCGAGCAGACGGGAATCGCATCAAACTGTATAATCCCCTTCCATCATCATCGCCGCCCGACTTCAACTAATTCACGGCAGGCAATAAACACTACTATGTTAAACACGGCGATACTTGCTCTGACATTGCTATCAATTACGACATCAGCCTAAGCGATTTCTACTCCTGGAATCCAGCTGTAGGAACAACGTGTAGTAACCTGGAAGCTGACTACTGGGTATGCGTCGGTATATCTGGTGAGTATACTCCCCACCCTGGTAGCCTGCTCTCTGCAAGGCAAACTAATTAACTTCAGGTGGTACCTCCGCAACCACCACAACACCTACCTCCACATCCACATCAACAGCTAGCAGTACCACACCCACCAGCAGCGCTCCATATCCCACCCAGTCGGGCCTAGTAGATGACTGTTCCACCTACTACCAAGCCAAATCCGGAGACAGCTGCTGGTCTATCGTCAACAATGAATACACCTACCTGACGACCTCCCTCTTCGAAGAATGGAATCCCGCCGTCGGATCAGACTGTAGCAACCTGCAACCTAGTTACTATTACTGTGTTGCCACGCAGAAGCAGGCGCCAATGCCCGACACGATCGATACCTGTGAGAAGTGGCATTTGGTAGCTGAAGGGGACAATTGTTGGTCGATTGAGCAGGACGCAGGTATTACTGCGGATCAGTTTAATACGTGGAATCCGTACGTGGGTTCATCGTGTGCGAACCTGTGGTTGGGGTATTGGGTTTGTGTGGGTGTTTAATTGAGCTGGTAATTACGAGGGTGGGAAGCTTTAGGAAAGGTACCTCAGGTACCAGTAGCCCTCAGTAAATACAATTTAGGTTCCGGCAAAGTTAGGGAATCCGTGGTTGTGATTATATTGGCTTTCGTGCAAGGCGGCCGATCAAAGCAGAGATAAGGGCGACATCCACGAGTTGCCCATGGCTTGGCACAAAAATGCAATAGTTTGAACGATCTACTTAGGTCCCCGACATATTATAAAGAGCCCAGAAAAGGTTTTAAAACATGCAACAGTATTAGTATGACTATACTCACCGAAGATTCCTAATAAATATCTAGTCATTTTTACTCGTGCTTCAGGGTCTTCTTCAGTAGTCTGTATATTTGTGATAGGCTAACCTAGGTATTGTGCACGGGGTCATATGCTAAGATAATTATAAGAGTCATAAAATTATAAATAATAATTATATTTTCCTGGAAGGCTTGATTTATAGCTAATATAATTATAGAATGTTCTGCACAGGAGCCTGCAGTATATTACTGTATTTATTCTTGAGACTAGACAGAGAATATCTCAGTAAGAACATTTATCTTTATTCATGACTCATATTTCACTTATCACAGCGGTGCTAACAAGAACAAGTGGGTCTCCTTCTTGCGGGCCTAGTGATGCGAATGTCTAATGGTTACGAAGCGACTTCCAGCTGAACTGCAGGACCCGATGTGGGCCAAAAGCCATAAATCTTATTAGGCAAAGGTCCTCTGCTGGGTGGAGCGAGTGGGTCGCTTATTTCGTGATATAAAGTACGCAGCCTCGAGCATGGTTTAAGTTGGTAAAGGATGTTATATGTGCTGCTCAATAGACAAAATAAGAACGGTACATTTGTGACCAAAAGATTGCGTAAAATTGGCCGATTCAACAAGTCAGGAAACCGTGAACACCTCGATTTAAAATCCGTAAAGCGGCAGATTCATGCTTTTTTCACCAGCTCTCGTTTGGTTCAACCGGCTTGACATTTGGAAAGTCTATGTTTGGTAAGCCGTCTACGCATGCAGCCGTGAATTTTTCAAACACCGTAGGACCAATCTCGGCTGTTGCTTCTCGAAGCTCTCCTCCGAAATTGTACGAGCCCTCTGGCTGCTCGAACACAATGACCTCTTTCGTTGCCAATCAGTTGATAGGCTCATATGTAGCCCTCCCACTTCTGGCCTGTAAATAGCATATATTAGCATCTCCAACTGAGTAATATTTGGATGCTCCATTAAGCATGGGTCTTCCGCCATATCAACCATTCCATTGAATGTAATCCGATAACCGGCGAGGGCACTTATTTCCAACCCCTTGTTGTCCTTGTCGAG